ATCACCGCCCGCTCCCGACGCCCCGCCTCCTTCTCCCTGCCCCGCCTCCTTCCGCCCTGCCTCTCCCCTTTCCTGCCTTCCCACCTTTGTCAGTCTCTTGACTCCCCGCCTACTGCCTCCGCCCACTCTAGCTCCCCTATCCCGGCTCTGCAGTCAACGACCCGCCTCTTCCTCTCTGCTCCTTCCTCCTCACTCCCCTGCCTTCTCTCCACGCCTCTCCTCTTCTCCAGGCGCGTACTCCCGCCACCCAGTCCATTGCCCGCCTCTGGACGCCCCGCCCCGCCCCGCCTCCCGTCTCTCTCCGCCCCCTGACTCCCTACTAGCCAGTAGGGAGTCTTTCTCTTCTTCTCCAGCTCGGCCTGGAACAGTTATAAGCCTTATCTGACGATGCTCTTCCATTTTTCCTCAGCGATGAAACAAGACCTGGCCTTCTGTTACCTAGCCCAACCAGCCTGGGCCCCTGGCTCCACAGGCCATCCTCTGGCCCATGCCGTAACGTTCAAATGCTGGCTTCTCCCAACACAGGCCCCATTCAGCTCTGTCTTGGTTCTTGCTGTGGACTCCATTGCTCTGTAACCCGCTTTCCACATGGCACCGGGATCCCGCTCCTTCTTAAAACTTTCTCAGTTTCCTGATGACTTCAGAATGAAATCCAAAGGGCTCTCCCGGTACATAACGTCTGTCGGGACCTGTTGCCATTCAACTTTACTCTCTACTGCTTCCCTTGCCCCCACCCACCCCTTTTTCATTACACTTGCAAATACCCGGCTTTTCATTTGTTGTCAGTTTCACATTCTTACCTGTTTCAGAGCATTTGCCCTGGCTAATCCCCTTGCCTGACACACCCTTCTCCTGCCTCACGTTGTCATTCCATTTTCAGTGCAAATGTCACTTCTTCAGAGAGAACTCTCCATCGTCCTTTATAAAATACCTCCTGCCAAGTCTATTACAAAGCAGCCTATTTTAGTACTTTCATAGCACTTATCTCTGATATTAGTTTATTTTTTGAGTACAGTGTGGTTTAGATCAGGGGCTAGTAAACCTTTTCTGTAAAAGGCCAGACAGTAAATATTTTAGGCTTTGTGGGCCATACAGTGTCTTTAGCTACTACAGTACTCAATTCTGCCGTTGTAGCAGGTAAGCAGCTATACCTAAATGAATTAGTGTGGCTAGGTTCCAATAAACCTTTTTTTATGGACACGAATTTGAATTTCATATAATTTTCACATATCATGAAATACTCTTTAATTTTTTACAACCATTAAAAAGTATAAGAACCATTCTTAGCAATCAGGCCATACAAAAACTGGCCACAGGAGGGCTGTAGCTTGCTGATCCCTTGTTTAGAGCACAATGAACCCATAGTACCCTGGGTTTATACTCCTGACTTACATTTACTATCTATGAACAAGTTATTTAACCTCTGTGTCTCAGTTTTCACAACCATACAATGGGAACACTACCAAACCTACTTCATAATGTTGTTGTGAGGGCTAAATGTGTTAATTGTATGAAGAACTTATAGACACTTAGAATGGTGCCTGGCACAGAGTAAGCACAATACAAAAATGTTTTGCTATTATTATTTGTGAGTTTATCATCTGCCTCCCCCTGTAACACATGCACCCCCAAGCAGCAAAATCTGGTCTTTCTTATTCATATGGCATGGAACTGTGCGTGGCTCAACTAACATCTATTAAATAAAGAAGCACACATAGACCCCTACAGCAAAAACAAGGATAGGAAGGGTCCCTGAGTAGAGTGCTTAGATAGGCAAGCCCCTGAGGAAGGCAGAGGGGGAGGCAGGAAAAACGAATCAACCAGGCTAGAGATGAATGGAGTACCTGTTCAGCAGAAATGCTGCTCATACCTAAGGGCACTTTTACCTGCCCTAGCAGTGCTATTCCTTGACATCAGAGCCTCATATAGTTCAAAGTCTGCAAGAACTAGGACACTGAAA